CGGGGAACTCTGCAAAAAACGCATCTTCGCACGGGCAGCCCGTGCGTTGGCCATTTATTTTAAATTTCAACCGGATCTTTACCATCCGTACTGAAAACAGTGCTATAACCGTAGCGCAATGTGACACAAGTATTTACTTAATTCACTAGGATATTATTTGTAGGGAGGGCAAATTTGCGACTTTTGTCAAGCAAATAGTTCATTTGCTCATCCAGCAACAAATATGGTGGACGGTCGAGCCAGCTGGTGGCAAAGTCCACCGCTAAGCCGTGGCATGCAGTATAATCAAGTGAACATCAGCATCGATTTGGGACAGGTGAGTACTGTTGCGCCGTCAGCCTGGGATTTATGTGAATTTTACGTGAAGATAGCTCTGTTTCCCTTGGGCTTGTAATTTTATCATAACCGGCTATTTTGGGGGTTTCCGAGCTTTGCTGCGTGGGAAATAATATCTCCTAGGATGGTTCTGACAAAATTCTCCAACAGACTTGGTGACAAGAACGAAAATTAGCAGTTAGTTGCTGTTTCTTCAAGAAACAGAAATCGAAATATACAAAGATTAAAACTACTACGACAGGGAGGCGTGTTCAACTCAAATTTGTCCTTTTAGCCACAGTTAATTGCCGTCTCTGAATTTCCAAACCGTTAATTAAGGAGGAGTAGAGAGATGTGCTGAGCAGCAGCATTTTGCAGGAGTTTCATGTGGCATATGTGTGGATCCAAATGGCAAATAGCCCTCGACCAGGATCGTGGGTGTTAGAACGATCTGCTGATGGAGGAAAGAGCTATATTCCGTGGCAGTACTTTGCTGAAACACCAGCAGAATGCGATCGGGTCAGCATACATTTTGTGACAATTTATGTAGACAAAGCGAGGAAGAGGCAAAGGCAAAAGGCTTTTTTTTTCCAGGAAACCTAGGCATTGAGCATTCAACACATTGGCATATTTTAAACCAGTTTTATCCAGCATATCTTAAAATCAGTAGATTCTCATCTTTTTTTGTTATACGTGAAAAACACTTGCTAAAATTTATTCATAGTAAAGCTGAAAGCGCTGTTTCTCGAAGAAATCCTAAATTACGCTTTTGGTATCTATCATAGCCACATCTATTGATTGGCTGAACTTGACGGATTCATAGATTCTTCATTTTCAGTTATTTGGACGTCATACACTTCAGCCAATATTGGAAGACGACACTGTCATATGCACGCATGAATTTTCCGGTATACACCCTATGGAAAACGCTGAGGTTAAAATCTTTTTCCACGACAATCCAAAGTTCCAATGCTCACATTTATATTTTTTTTTTTTGACATTGGGTACTAACGGAAGTGATGGTGATTGGACATTGTGGACTTGAAAGATATGGATACAGTAAACTTCAGGTAGAAGCACTCGTTTAAATTGCCCTCGACGTATGAGTGCGCTCAATAACACCAAAGCAGTAATCCGGGAGATCCTGATAAAAATATTTTGTGATTTTACTGATATCGAAGCAAGCGATTTGAACAGTAACGGGTCCAAAGTGTCTGATTGGTGTTTTTGTGCATTGTTTTTGCATTTATGCAAATGCAAAATCTTATAGCTGCAACAGGCTGTATGTGTATGTGTGTGTGTGCTCGCATTTTTGTTACGCATTTTCTACTCAGTAACCAGAAA